TAACGAGGAGAGAAACGGTAAGAGAATCGATCTCTGAGGCGATCCTCGGGAGAGCTCTCAGAAATCTATTTCTTTCGACGTGACTCCGAATCCGAATAACACTTCGATGCGCACGCACTGGCTCACTCCCAGAGATTCCACGTCAGAGACCGAGGAAGAGTTATTAACTTTCGGACATTGCAGCTTCAAAGAACGACTTCCAATCCGGCGCAAAGGCCCTCCGCATTTTTTGCCGTGCTTCTGGAATCATTTAGCGACGTGAGTCCATTCGGCACGGTCGGGCGCTCCACAGATTAAAAGTTCAAACTACTCGGATCGATTAGAAAGCAGAAAAACTACATCTCGGCTCCGGGGGATTTCCAAAATCTAGCTTCGGCAAATGCGAATCATGAAAGCTTGAGGAAGGCGAATGACGCGCTGCTCTCAAAAAAAAGTGTTTTCGCGGGTCGGCTAGTCAAGTTATGTCTTTGCGGACGTTTCCGCGAAAGGGAAGGAATGGCGCGCTCGATCGCAATCCTTCTTGATATTGGTCTGGGATCCGTCCGAGCAGGCGAGGCCAAAACGGTGAAAAGAGGAGTAGGTCGTCATGTCCGGGTATCATATTCGAGCCAAGAATCTATGCTTCAGGGAGGTCGTCGAACGGAGAGTCGAACTAAGGGGACACTGACACCCCCACTCAGGGATCAGTGATCGAAAGAGATGGGTATAGCTCCAGCTAGAAACGGTCTGGCTTCTTCCTCGTGCCCTTGGTGTGACGAGCGATGTATCCGAATAAAACGGGATGTAATCTCTGTTCATGTTCTGCTGTGGGAAACGGCGGGTAGTTACGGAATCAGGGCCGACATACATATACCCTTTTGTAGAGTCGGGAGTATTTCCGGCTCTAGACGTGGGATAGGAGTTCAGAGTCAGAAGACGAGCTCGCTCATGTTTTACAACAGTTTTGACGGGAGTCACCTCTCCTATTGCTCCTTCTTTGAAGCGTGCTGGAGTTGAGTGACTTATGTTATGCTCAGCGTCCGACACCCGTCCGTCTATGCTTCACCGCTGAACTTTTGGGTACCGTGTCCTTCCATCTCGTGCCGAAGACTCCTACGAATTAGAAAATTCGAGGAGTCATCGCTTATGTGGGTCGATAGTAGGAAAACCTGAGAGGTAACTTCTATTTGATCTGCGGAATAAGTGAAGCCATCCCGTTCCAGCCAGCTCCGGGGAGACGATTGGAACTTCCATCGCTTCTGACAACGTCGTGCGAGAATCAACATGAGGGAAGCAGAGAATATGTAGCGGACCTGGGTAGTGTCCTCTCTCCCCCAAATCAACCAATTGGCGATCTTTCCAGAAAGGCGCAATCGTGAGTATTACAGGGACAGATGGGCAAGCTCAGCAATATCGAATCAGGAATCGAGGTTTTCTCCAACAAAACAGCCGAATCCATGATATGGAGAATATCCCAGCGAGAGCTCCATTCCGATCATAGTTAGCCAGACGTAATTCATTTTTCGGCAAGGGTCTCTCGGGTGCTGAAGGTAATGTGAACGGAACTAGAGCGAAATAATCGCGAAAAATATCAACTTAATTAAAAAAGTCGCATTCCCGTTGTTCATCCGTCGCGCTATAGAGGGCGTGCCCATGAGGAACGATAACCCGGATAATCCGAAGTAAGCTGCAGTATCTCTTTCTGGGCCGCGCTTCGCCCATAGGTCAGAGAGCGAGGAGGGTCCGTCGGTCGAATGGGTCGTCACGTCGTTGCTTGCTTGCGATTTTCCGGGAGTAAACTCCCACTCATGGGGGTCGAATCGCAAGAACGTCACGGTGCGCTTCGTCTGCTATGGTGGCAGTTTTAGTCGTGGCTCCGAGCGGCCTCATCGAGGTCCTCGCAGAACTCGTTAGGAGAAGAGGCGAGAGTAATTTAAATATCCGGCCACCGGAAATCCCGGCTTTGAGCAATTTCGTCAGTATACCAAGACCCTTCTCCGACGACCTATCCTTCCTCACCACGAGCCTTGCCTTGGTCCTGTCCGCTGCGCTCGCTATCAACCCCTTCCCCTCCGCGAACGGCCGCTCTCCTCGACGTTTCTCCTAAACTACCAACTATTCCGCCTTATATTGACCTGCTTTATAGCACACTATAAATTCTTCCCGCACGACTCTTCTCGAATTGTGTCTCTGAGCACGCCCGAACGACCGAAGGCTGTTCCGGCGGATTTGAGCGAGACTCTCCAAGGGAAGCGTATTTGACGTCATTTCGCTTAGGGCATATGATCGTTTCCGTCCCGGAATGTGTGTTCGTACCCTTCGTACGTCTGCTCTCGGAACAGAGCACGTGGCGGAGGCTGAGTGGGGGATCCTTAGTGAGTTTGAAATCTGAATTTCAAGCGACGCGAATTTCAGGCGAGCAGCTCGCTCGAGCTTTGCGGGAGATCGAAGACAGTCTCTGCAAAGACAGCTGTAGACATTCACATCCGCGCGCGAGCACCCGGATCCGGAGAGAATCGTTCAAAGTTTCAGCTATGCAAATTTCTCAGGGAACGGATCGCCTTCATTCTCCTGTCCCGCTATTCTGTCCTGCTGCGCAGGAACTCCGGAAGTCTCATGGGGCATTCGTCACCTCAGCATGATGGAGCCTCCGTTTCCATCGCGATTCCTCCGAAAATTGAGCTGTTGCTCTCGGTCTTTTCGAGAGAGGCCGCCGCGTTGCCTTGACCCGCGGACTCGGGGTGCTTCATCACTTCGTAGGCTGGACAGGACTCGCAACGGCGGCTTCCGTCGAAGTACTATACAATTCGACTATTCGACTAACGTCACGGTGCGCAAATTGGAATTTTTCCTTGAACGTTTTCCAACGAGCGTCTCTCCGCGACCTCCGGCTGACATCGTTGGAAAATCCCAAGACTCATTGTACGATGCATGGGCGACGGCTCTATTCCCTGAGCCATGCTGATAACGCGCGCTGAAACCTGAGCTACACGTCGTCATTGGAAAGAGGCGACGCTGGCGTTGACTCTTTTGGCAGCTAAAGCGGATTCCAGCGCAGAAATCCCCTGCGAATTAACACCTCGAAAGCGCTTTCGCGACGGCGCGGGAACATTCTTTGACAGATTGCTGACTTGCATAATATCACTCCGAACGACATCTCCAGCTTCTTTAGTCGGGCAAGTAAGCCGTCTGCAGTCGCACACTTCGTGCGCAACTCGAAGCACCGGGTAACGGAGAAAAGCTCTCCTCCCAGCGCGACTCCTTTCTTTGCAGCTGGGAAGAACCCATGAGGCTTCCACTGAGCATATAACTCGAGCTCACGGCTTCACCAAGATCCCAGGGATTTTGATCCAGGTGTGAACTTTGGACGAGCCGAGATCTGCAAGGCTCGATGACTGAATGTCCTGTATGATTCCCGTAATGCTTCCCTGAGCGGGACTCCCTCCTTTGGATCTCGGTGTGCGACTCAAGTCAGTCGCAACAATGGGTTGTTCTATTCATGTAGCAACAAAAGCCGCCGCAATTGTCCAACGCTCGTCGCCGACAACTTCCAGGTTGCGAGGGAAGCTCCAGCTGATAAATTCCACCCGCATCGGCTGCTCCCGGCGACGTCCTCAAATTTCCAGGAGCACGTGAGCTACGGATGCAGACGAGCCGCAAATACTATCTGTTCATCCTGTACAGACTCACACAGGGCCTGCAACTCCTCAACACCCACAATCTGACCGTCGTCGCCGGAGACTTCAACGTCCGACTCGACAAAGGCTGCGGGTGGAGAAGGACCGCATTCGTCGGCGCGTTACAAGAACTCGGATTTTCGATTCATAACGACACTGGCAAATCAACATTTACGGGGCCGATGGGACAGTCTGTGATAGATATCTTCGCGTCGAACCTTCCACAGCGCCAAGTGAGATACTCCGCATCCGACCACCAACTCAGAGAGGGATCGATGATCGAACCTCATTCCCCGGTGGGAATCGATATCGCCTCAACGCATATCACCATAGAATCGAAGCGCAGCTCCCCTCTGGGAAAGGATCTGGACTTCGAGAAATTCACCCGGTGACTGTCACCCCTGCAACCGTCCGAAACGAGCACGGTGGGTGACGTGGACGCATACAACGAAGTGATTACTTCGGTCATTAGAGAATGTGTCGCTCCGTACCGAATACGTAAAGGGAACGCCTGGTGGAACTCAACTTGCTCAGAGGCCAGACAGAAACAATATCAGGCCTATCAGCTTCTCCTCAAGCTGCCCTTCATGCTTGGCCTTTACTGTCGCCTGAGGTCAGCGTAAAGACGAGAGGCAAAGCAAAATCACTTCGAAAGGACCGAGATGGTACTCCTAGAGAAAGCAGCCCGGACACCGTATCTCTGGTTGAAGAATCCAAGGGCGAACCGCCCCAGAACGGAGCAGACAGACTTATTGATCATTTCCGCAGCATACTTGCTTCGGAGAATACAGTCCCGCGGAAACCGGTGTCGTACTCGACGGCCTGGGGCGACGTTGAATGGCTGGACCGCGAAAAACTCGCCGAAGAGTTCGGAGTCGCGGAGGTGGCTGAGATCATACTCTACCTGCCCGGCGGAAAAGCCACTGGACCTGACTTGCTCAGCACCTCAGAGCGGCCGCGGCACTCGTTCCTGACAGGACCTCGGTGTTCAATGGATGCCTGGCTCTCGGGAAGATCCCGTGAATCTGGCGATCCTGTACGCTCACACTTATCCCAGAGGGCAAGGGGGCACGCGAGAGTCCGACTGGGAGGGCCATAGCGGAGGAAAGCTGCGCCTACGAAGTCCAGTCAAGTCTTATCACCCGACGCCTGACGCTATACCTCGAGCGCCGAGATCTTTCTCCGGAAGAGCAGTACGGTTTTCGAGCACATCGATCGACGAAGACGGCTTGCTCGCTGCTGCTGGAGAAAGCGGACAGGGTTGGCCGACTCATGGATGTCTTCCTGTATGCGACTTTCGTTGACTTCCGAGCGGTCTTCGACTCGGGATCACGAACACTGGTTATGAAGCCTCTGGTCTTCGCCGGAGTCCCGTTCAACATGCTGGAACTAATCAGAGATATCCTACGGGGGAATCCTGTCGCGATCGACGACGTAGTGTGTCTCCGAGGCGGTGTCATCCAGCCGAACGGATTTGCTCAGGGAGATAACCTCTCGCCACTGTTATTCTCGGTTCTGATTGCCCACCTGCCTTCACGAATCAAAACGCGGCACGCCGCGGTGGAGGTCATTCTGTACGCGGATGATTTAATTCTGTATAGTGCAAGCAGATTCCACCTCCAACAGGCACTCGCTACGCTAAGCCCGTATGTCGGCGAAGTCGGTCTACAAATCAACACGAGCGAGACTCAGGCCATGAAGTTCCGACGGGGTGGGAAAGTGGCCGGGACCGATGTGCTCTACCTTAATGGGGAGAGCGTCGAGCTCGTGAATTCCTTCGCGTACCTAGGAGTCACGCTCGCGTGTGCACTCTCCTTCACCACCCACATCGAGGAACGCCAAAGGAAAGCACTGGTAGCCATCAACAGCATCGCGACGCCCCGACTTCTGTCCCTACGAACGGCACTAGCGCTGTTCGATCTGAAGGTAGCACCGGTCGCCAGCTTTGGCATACAGATCATCTGGAAAAGACTGTCAGTCGCGCAGTTGGAGACTCCAGAGCGAATCAAACCCGTCTACCTGAAACGTGTCTTCGGCCTTCGCACGTCGACGAAGAACAGATTCGTCTGTCTACTAACCGACACCAAGCTTTTCGTGGAGGATCTACGAGACCGCTACAAGCTCGGGAATACATAGCTTTCGAAGAGATTCTCGAGATTCGGAGGAGGAAGACGGCGAAAGTGGACCCTCTCTCCCATGAGACAGAGGCCATGAGGAGCGGAAACTGGATGTAAGCATGCAGGAAGACAAGGCACAAGACAACCCGCTTCGCCGTTCTCGGGTTCCATGGAAGACTATGCTTGACCAGTGAATTCCATGACCCAAATGAAAACTGCATGTGCAGTATGTGTGGCTTCTCATATGGACTGTATCACGCGGAAGAATGCATGAATACTGACTCCATATCAGCCTTGTCGGAAGAGAGAGATTGTTGAGAGAGAGAGAAAAGAGGGAGAGATTAAGAGCTGATTGTTCTTATTTATGCACATATTTAACTGCAAATATCTTGTTTTAGATGAAATAAACTGTCAAGACAATACTACTACAGCACCGAGTATCCAGAACGGAAGCCGACACCTCCCAATGGTGGAACTTGTTCTTGAGTGCATTGTCCGACCACTCATCTAGCAAGTGTGCAGAACAAAGAGAGAACATCACAAGAGGCTCGTGGGTCTCTGGCGTTTGGGGATGCGGCCGATTCCCTCGCCCAGATCCTCCGTCGGCATGATTATCGGACAGTCACACACCGAGGGTTTCTAAGGAGCTCTGATCACTGGAGAAGTCGGCGTCAGGGTCCCGATCGAGATTGATCTATGTACATTCTCAAGGGGTTGTGAGATCAATGAGATCGAAGTCAGATTCCTCTATAAGTCATAACAACTTAATTTTGAGTTATTGAGTTAATTCCACAGCACACGTCACGTCGTCCCCGAACAGAGTGAAGTACAATGGCACCGCTGCTCACTGAAGTCTGCGAAGCTGAAACCACTCAGAATCTAAATTAGAAATATCCCTCGATCCCCCCAGAACTCGTTCGTCGCCCGGGGACTATTCTTATTCCCTCTCTGACATATGGAACGTATTCCGAGGCTCAAACTCTGACTGTCATAAAGGACGCAGCCGAGCGGACCTGAACAGAGGGATATGCTCAGCTCAGGAGAGACTCAGGAGGTCCGGTCAGTCACGCTCAAGAATTCGATTGACACCTCTCGGAGAGTTTGTTAAGGCCGTGACGGCGCAGATCAGACTTCATTGTGCTCCGCTGTCGAGGCGCCCAAGTCTAGACATATCCTTCGAGGCGTCGCGATAAGACTGCAGGTCCTAATTTTCTCTCGGACACTCCCCTACCTTGATCTTCCCGAGACAAATCATCGGAGCGGAGAATCCGATTAGCTCGCAACGTCAGACCCCCTCGGATCTCCGACTTATCCTCGCTACCTTGTATTGATATACATACAGCGAGAAGAAGATCCGTGCAAGCTCGGGATGAAGATCCATAATATCAAGTCACCTGCACCGGAGATTTCCGACACTTCCAATGAGGGTTCTCGAAGCATTAGTTCCATCCTCGTTCATCTTCTCATCTAATCATCTCACATTGAAGAGTCAGAGACGAGCTCGGTAATTCGAACACGCAAGGGCGGGAACCCCCTCGGAGCATCACCGAAGCATGATGAGGCCTATGACGAGCGGAAAATCATCCGGGAAATGCAGGCTCTGCCTGAGCGATTTGAGCAGTGAGTCCTCTAGATTTCAAATCTCGCTCCCATGTGTCACATATCCAAACATTCCTGATGTCCCGGAGCCCGGGCCCATGACCGACGGACAGGATTTCTCTTCGGGAGATCCAGGTAGGCTCTGATTGGCATTCCCGGAGCTCCGAAGCACCGCCGTTGCGATCTCATTCGCAAGTTATTTCGGAAAACGATGTACGTTCATCTCTGCGTCACCCCTCATGGAATCTCCAGGATGAGCTCTGAGGATGGCTCAATGTTCCCCTTGGCGTCATATGAGCAATTGTGTCAGCGAACCCGGTTGGAGTCTTACTACTACGATTTCGCAGAGACCATAAGTCTAGGTCTTGCACCGGTCGTCTTCCAAGAACCACACGCCCAGACAACGAGAGGTCATGCCTTGAGGGGAGGTGCGTTCTTGCCCCCGAGAATTGTTGCAATCGACGTCGATGGGCTTCCTCCACAGGGCCCCCCGGATGCCCCCATACAGGTATACATGATCGATGTGAATGGGAACGTGGTCCCCGCGCAACCCCCCTTCGTACCTCCTAACCAGAATCCCGGTGGGAATGACCCGAATCTCGCAGCACCCGGGCCGAACGGACAAGACGCCGCAGTGCCGCCCATGCAAGTATACATGTTCGATGCTTCCGGAAACTTGATGTCAGCGGATCGCTCCCCGGAGAATTTCATGCAACCCCCTCCAGCCTATCAGAACGCCTTTGAGGGGCTCTCAATCGAGATCGACGGAGTCTGTTGTAACTTGTTTGTTGTGATCGGACGGAACAGATTGTCTGCCGTGGAACTCTACAGCCTGAGTTTTGAATGAGGGAACAGGTGATTTTTTGGTGAAATCACGAGGCATGTGCTCTACGCGAGACCGCGCTGTACGAACTTGTTTTATTCTTAGTTTTGTCTGCTATCCATGGGATCGGAACGCGCGCGAGGTTTAAATTATGAACATTCTTGACACTCCCCACAAAAACGTTTACGTTTTTCCGCTTGAGAGTAAATTCGGAAACACAACGGGAATTCGAGATTTGAAATTATATACAGGCGTAACATTAAAATGCCAAGTATCACAATACGTCTTCACACAATCTTTGCACAGCGGATTTTCAGACGATTGATTTATCTGGTTGACCCGATGGCTCCTGACACTCCGGACACTCCTGACCAGCCAGCTCCAACGGGATGAGGAGCTGGGCGGCCCGCCGTGACTGCCGTCGATTTTCGAAGAGCACGGTGTAGGTTCGAACTTCACCGTCACGCCCGGGGTGAGCTTCCAGTACACGCACTAAGCGCCACCGAAGCCGCGGGAGGTTGTCTTCGCGTACCAAACATACATCACCGACTCGAATAGGGGGTGACCGACGACCATGCGTGGTAATCGCAGAGCGTAGAAGCAATAGGTATTCGCGGAACCAGCGAATCGAGATGTCCTTGAAGAAGTTGGTTTTCAGAACATGCGCCTTGCGCAGTTGGTCGCCGGAAACCGCTTCGCCGGCACCGAGGGAGCCGATCGGCACCAAGGGCGCGTATACTGGAACGTGAGGCGCACTCCGGAGAAAGTGAGCCGGAGTGAGCGCGGCAGGCGCATCACTCTCGGATGGGACGTGCGTTATCGGGCGATCATTTATGGTGGAAGCTAGTTCACAGAGAGTCGTACGAAACTCTTCGTAGCCGATGAGGTTGCGGCCGAGGGTCTTGGTGAGAGCCGATTTAAGAAGGCCGACACACCTCTCAAAGAAGCCTCCCCTCCAAGGGGCCCGAGCACAGTTGAAGCTCCACTCGATGGAGCGACCATTGAGAACGTCGACCACATCAGGACTCTTAACCGAGTTGAACAAGCGCTTGAGCTCTGTTGAGCATTTGGCGAAACTCGTGCCGTTATCTGAGATGAATCCGTGGCAAGACGGGTACGTTGCGAGGAATCTTCGTATGGCTAGGTGGGTTTGTGGAGCCGCCAGGGAGGGCACCGCTTCCAGGTGCAATCCTCGAGTCGCCGTGCACGTGAAGAGCGCCACGTAGGTTTTGAAGGTGTCCTCCCGGAGCTTGGTGAAATAAGGACCACAGAAGTCGAGGCCTGCCACAGAGAACGGGGCCAGCAGAGTGGCCCGGGACTCGGGAAGGGGTGCCTCCACCTGCGAGGCGGGAAGCCCTTGACGACGGCGGCAGACTACTACACTTTCCGAGTATAGATTTTATGAGTTGTCGACCACGGACTATCCAGTAGCGTTTGCGAAGCTGATTTAGGACCGTATTAACTCCGAAATGAGCATTGACTCTATGCGCATCGACGACCATCAGTCTGGCCAAGCGAGTTTGGCCCGGGACGACAATCGGGTACTTTTCGTCGTACGTGAGATAAGTCGCTAACTCAAGGCGGGTCTTGACTCGGAGGAGTCCATCCTCACAGATAAATAGTTGAGAGGCGGCCAGCTTCGAAGTACTAGGGATTCGCTCACCATTCCGAACGCACTGGATTTCCTCACGGAGGAAGCTTTGCTGGCAGCCTTTGACGAGGACAATCTCCGCCATGCGATAGAGCGCGGACCTTGAAGGCAGTTCTTTCCGGCGTGTTACGTAAAGAAATCGAAGAATGTTAGCGACGACTCGGATAGCTCTGCTCGCTGTACTGAAGCGCTCAAGGTCGATCCACGGCTCGGTAACAATGGCTGCAGCTACGACTTGACGCATCTCTGGAGCAACTGGATCTAGGCTGACGGACCCACGCCGTGGCTGCGTAAGGGGTCGCTGATCGGGGGCAGCCGGAGCCACCTCGGTCCGAACCACCACTCGGAATTCTCGACCAGGGTTGCGGCGGAGACACCACGCGTCGCGAAATCAATGATATTCGACTCTCCACTCAAGTGGAACCAGTCTTCGGAGCGAGACTCGGATTGAATCTCCCGCACTCGGTTACTGACGAATTGTTTCCAAGTACCGGGGCTTGACGATGTAGCCCAGTGGTACGCAATCGTGGAGTCAGTGTAGAACAAGGTGCGTTCGAAGTCGATATTTAGGCGCTCCATCAGGAACCTTTTGAGACGAACAGCAATTAGCGAGGCGAGCAACTCCAGCCGCGGCAATGATGGCGAATCCCGGGGAGCGAGCCTCGACTTCGACATCACCAAGGCGAAGTCAGACGATCCATCCGCGAATTTCGACTCAATATAAGCGGCCGCGGCATATGCGGTGGTGGATGCATCTCCGAACAGGTGCAGAACATGGGCGACCGGAACATCATTCCGGCACGAATATCGTCGCGGTATACGAAACCGTCTCAGCTCCACGACCTCGGTCATCCATCGCTTGAGGTCGACATGAATGGCTTCGGGGATCTTATCATTCCAGCCCAAATTCTGAGTCCACAGCCGCTGTATTAGTTTCTTCCCTCGGAGAGTGAATGGCGTGAGCCAGCCAAGGGGGTCGTAGATAGAGGCGACTATGCTCAGGACCTGGCGCTTCGATGGAGGACTTTCGGGCGCTGGGCCGTCGAACAACGAGGGTGTTTTGAACGAAAAAACATCCTCTGACGGGCACCAGGCTATACCCAGAACCTTTAGGAACTCCGCGCTCGACGAATCGAAATCGTCGGGCTGAATGCCGGTGCCGAGCAAATGACTCTTCAGTTCGGTGGAATTGGATTTCCACTTCGCGAGGTGCATGCCTGCAGATGCGAGCGATTGGCGAACTTTATCGGTGAAACGCTGCGCGCGCTCGACATCTTCGAAACTCTGCAGAAGATCGTCGGCATAGAGGCATTTCGCCAGCTCCGGCACCGCTGCGTCGCCTTTTTCAAGGTGATGTCGGATCGTGGCAGCCAAGAGGAACCCGGAAGAAGCGGCTCCCCACGTGACACGCACCATTTGGAATGTCTTAATCGCGCTCGATCCGGGGGCCTGCCATAGGAACCGGAAGAATGGCTGATCCGTTTCGTTGACCGCGATCCTCATGTAGGCACGCGAAATATCGGCGGACAAGGCGATCGGGTGCGACCTGAAGTTGAGAAGGAGTGAGACAAGATCGGGGTTGAGATTCGGACCGGGAAGTAAATGATCGTTCAATGACGTGGCCCCCTTTTGTTTGCTGAGCAGTCAAATACAATCCGCCACCTCTCCTTGCCGCTGGAAGACGTCACCACCTCGTGATGAGGCATAAAATAGGAGCCATCGACGGCGGAGAACTCCGCCGGCTCGAGGTTCTGGATCTCGACCGCGAATCCTTCGTCAACGAATTTCATGAGCTCAGTGTGGTAACGCTGGTATCTGTCTGGCTCGAGCTGCAGTTGAGAAACCTTCTTGGCGAGTCGCTGTCTTGCGCCAATCAAGTTGTTGGGGAGCTGAGAGATACTCGGTTTTTTCGGAAAAGACACCGCGTAGCGACCATTGCCGTAGGTGATCCCTTGATTGAATTGGAGGAGTGCCTCCTCTTCATCCGCGGACAATTGCGAATTCGAAGGAGGATCTGTGATTCCAACAGCTTCAAGGCTCCAAAGCGTCTCTAACGCCTTCGCCGCCGCTGTTCCCGTCGACGACTGACGAGACGAGAGTGCGGCAGCACAGCAGACGATATGAGTTGCAGTGACCTTTCCTTTCACTTGACCTTGGTCGATAGGAACGGATCCACCGATTATCCATCCCAACCGCGATGGATGAGCCAGGATGTCATCCACGAGGAGCTCCGGCGGCTCGCGTTCCATTATCTTGTGCATCTGATTCATGCCCACGAGGAGGGCTGGTTGCATACA